CCATATCTTTGAACATTAAAGCACCTATCTCTGGGTGCGGGCCACATCCTTAAAAATAAACCCTTACTTCCTTTGAGGCAAGCTCCTGTTCATGTTTTATTGCGCTTTGAAGTGTGCACACAAGAGGACCCCCCTTTAGTCTGGTAATACAGAGAGATCTGATCAGATTATTGGAAGGAGAGGGAAGAGGTCATAGAAGGAGGTCACCTGAGGCAATGGTAAACAGTCTAGGATGGGATTGGCTGAGAAGCTGAACACTTCCAGAGCACATGGAATTATAGGCTAAAAAATTTAAAATAATAAGAGGGCAGACACTGGCTCTCAGGCTTTCTTCTTCCTTGAGGATGCCTGGATGATCATACTGTAGCTGCCTGCATTTCCCAAAGGATGGTATTTTGGATGGATTTTGGATGGGAGAAGAAACTTTAGGTACAGACTGGGTATGGGCTGGCCTGGCAGAGGTGGCAGGGTTATTATTCTTTGGATGGTCTAGAGATTTGCTCTGAGGCAGAAATCTGTCATTCTCCCAAAACTGTGTAGCTTTTGTATCTTATGTTGTTTTAGTTTATAAACTAATCCTATACAAAATAGATAATTAAAAATTAACAGGGGTAAATGATAGGAAAACTCAGGTGTTAAAGATTTTAGCCTTCATTGATAGGTGTAAGTGATTAAAACTGTAACTGACAGCCCTGGCTGGCGTAGCTCAGTGGATTGAGCGCAGGCTGCGAACCAAAGTGCTGCAGGTTCGATTCCCAGTCAGGGTACATGCCTGGGTTGCAGGCCATGACCCCCAGCAACTGCACATTGATGTTTCTCTCTCTCTTTCTCCCTCCCTTCCCTCTCTAAAAATAAATACATAAAATAAAATAAAAAACCTCTAACTGACTAGTGTATGTGGAAAGCTGTTATTCAACAATTGTGTAGTTTTTGAACAAAGACTCCTTTCCTTTACCACCATACCTTTGACTCTGGAATTTTGCCTAGAGGTTGGCAGCGGACACCAGGACCCCACCTGCTGTTCAGCAACAGCAACAGTTGTAAGGTGGGACACCTCTGGAACAGAGGTTCTACTTTGTGCATGGAGCTGCTGAAAGTACTGGAATATGAATCACCCTTTTCCTGGCTCCTAAAGTTGTTGTTTTAAGTCAGGCAAGGACACAGGGCTCTACTCCATCTAAGCCCACTGCTCACCAACTAGAGCAAGGGTATCACTCAGAGAGAAGCTTACTATTGTCCCATACTGAGCTCTGGCTCAAGATGTGCCCTGAGAGGGGAAACAGACCAAAAAACGTAAAAGTTTCTAATTTCTTCCCAAAGAAACTGACTTCATTTGCAACAGACAGTGAAGAAGTTCAAGCCTAAAGGTATTCTTAAGAACAGTGGCAGTTGTTTATAATGAAAAGCAATTGATAAGAGATTCAAGAAACAGGCTAACCTGTAGGTGGGCCAGCGTTCAGAACCTATTTCAGAAAATAAGACAGGTGAGAGGGGTCAAAACAAAAATCAAGCATTGACCTCAAAAGCTATTCCTTCAAAGAAACTAGAATTTGATTGGATTACTGTGTACAGCAACTTATGCTCCAGGGCATTGTTGAAAATAAGATAGCAATTAGCTGACAATTAGTAGAGTTTAAAATCTGAGTGTGGGCAAAGAAAGAGAAATGGTTCCCAATGCCACTTTCTTTCCAGGGTGACTGTTGGCATAGCCACCCTACATCAGCGGCTGAACACTGTGTGTGATGAGGGCTGGGGGTAGGGGGCTGAGGTAGATTTCACCAAAATAATTTAGTCAGTCACTAACAAATAGAAAATGCCTGTGAGATGAGATATGTCAGATTTATCAGGATAAGAATTAGAAGAATTATTATAAATATGTTCTCAAAAATATAGGAAACCATGATCAATGAAATAAAAAATGTATACTGACAAGGTGGAATCAAAGAGTAAATACTCAATAAAGAGCAAAGAATTATTTTTAAAAAACAAATAGAATTATGGAGTTGAAATTTATAATAACTGAAATTATGCAATTCAGGGAAGAGAAGGAAGCCTCATAAAAACATGAGATACCATTAAAAACACTAACATACATGTAATGAGAGCACAAGAAGGAAAGGACAGAGCAGGGGGGAAAAAACTCAAAAAAGAAATGGCTCAAAAATCCCCAGATTTATTGAAATATAACCTACACATCTAAGAAACTCAACAAATTCCTCACAGTGTTACCAAACTCAGGCCCAGCTGCCTGCTGCAACAAAAGCCAAACTGGTAAGACAAGTGCTAGTGAAAATGAAAGAGGTTTATTGAAGTGCTGGCCACCTGCGAAGATGGGGGACTCTCCTCCGAAACCCCATCACAACATCTCAGTGCAGGCAGAGGTTTTTATAAGGAGGGAGGGGGAAAGCAGAACAAAGACTTCAAGGGGAGGGGGTTGAAAAGCCCTCTTCATGCAGACCAGCACAAGCCCATTCTGATAAGAATTTTGAAACTGGGCAAGCAATGGTCTGGTGTGCATCATTCTGGTTTTATGTCATTCCAGTTTTACAGTGAAAAGTCAGCAAATCTCCCAGAGCTGAGATGACTGAAGGTCAAAATCTGTCTTTTGAAATCGCGCCTAGAATTCTTATACAAACGTACCATTTATCTATAAACTACGTATTAGTCATAGTCAACATTTATAGAAAAAATGTTTTAAAAATGGTGATGTGGGTTACAATTTCCCACTGTTACAACTGGATAAATATAAAGGGACCTACTAACATATATCATAGGAAAAATGCTGAAAATTAAAGACAAGGAGAAAAATCTTGAAAACACTATAAATAATTCTTCATAAAACTCTTTTTTTTTTTGCCTGTAAAAGATTACAGGACTAAGAGTAAAAGTTTTTAATTCACCTAGCCAGTGTGGCTCATTTGGTTGAAGCATCATTCCATAACCAAAAAGTTGTGGGTTCATTTCCTGGTCAGGGCACATACCTAGGTTTCAGGTTCAATCCCCAGCCCCCTGTCTAGATCTGGGCACATAGAATCACTGGCCCAAGTGCATTGGGGCTGCAATCAATCTATGCTTCTCTCTTGCATACATATTTCTCTCTCACTCTTCCTCTCTCTCTAAAACCAATGAAAAAAACAAGTCCTTGGGTGAAGATAAAAATAAATTTTAAAAAAGTACTTGATTCAATTCTGTATCTGCCACTTCATACTAGATGAGTTTTGTCAATTACTATCTCTGAATCCCAGTTTCCTCACCTAAAAAATAAAATTAATATTTCAAACAAATTTTTTCTTAGATTCATGAGGTAACATGTGGATACCTTTTGAAAATATGTGGAATCTAAATAACAAAATAAATAAACAAGCAGAACACAAACAGACTCATAGATACAGAAAATATTTTGATATTTGCCAGAGAGAGGTGGGTTAGGGGAATGGGTGACAGAAGTGAGAGAATTAAGAAGTACAACTTAGTAATCATGTTGGTGGTAAAATGGCACCAGGTGTTAGATCTCAGCTCAGTAACCTTGGCACTTAGAGTTGTGGCTAAGAAAGCATTCAGAGCCAAGAGAAACCATAAGAGAAAGTTTATATAAAAAGTCACAGAAGTAGGAGAAGTGAGCCATAGAAGAAACAGGCTGAGGAAACAAGTTACAGAGGCAAAAGAAGGGCCCTTGGAGCTCAGGGGAGAGAGAGAGAGAGAGGGAGAGAGAGATGTACATTGAAAGACCAAAGAGGAAGGAAAGGTGTAGCATGCTGGGAAAAAAGGAAGAACACACCTGGGGTCCCTGTCTTAAGGGCTCTTATCTATAGGTCTCAGGAGAGGATCTCAATACAACATTCTTCAGCTTTCCAGGTGTGTCCCCTCAGGGTCCTAGCCTCCATCGATTGGTCGGTGGCAGGATAGGGGATTATTAGTCAATGCAGCTGGTCCTGATGTCAGCTATGGCATCACTTTATCTGATTTTGCTGCTTCTCTGGGCCTGGAGCTGAAACACAGCTGAGCCCTAGATGTCATTTCCAGGGGTTAATGTTTTAGGGAGTGATTGTGCAACAGCTTATAGTTTTGTCCATTGCTAGGTACCTAGGGCTCGCCCTCCTGGTGACCCCTTTGTATTTGGCATATCATTCTTACTCTGTTCCTGCCTATCTAACTAAATACTACAGTTATAAAATAGCCACAGGGTTATAAAGTACAACATAAGGAATATAGTCAATAATATTGTAATAACTATGTTTTATGTTAGATGGGTACTAGATTTATCAGGGTGATCACTTTACTAAGTTACATATGTTTACTAAGGTATATAATATTGTACATCAACTGTAATTAAAAAACAAAAATTTATTTAAAGAAAAAAGAATAAATGTTTTAAACAAACATAAATGCTTTTTAAAAATTTGAAGTGAAGATATTTTGGAAGCTTGAACTAAACACTTAGATTATGCTAATTCACTCTTTGCTTCACTACATAAACCCAGCCTAATCCAAACAGCTGGCAGAAATGAAGGAGGCCATTTTTTTGAATTATAAAAGTATTATTCTTTTTAAAGAGACACAATTTATACATCACTGCAGGCAAAGAAAATACATTAGTAATATTTGAATAAGCACTAGGTCAATAAGCTCTAAATCAAGCATTTTAGGATTTCTTGAGTATTTTAATATTACCAACACAATTATAAAATATGCCTGGGACTTCTAAGAAGTTGTGCTTATATTCATGTTGATCGATTTCTTTAGAAGAGAAACATATATATAATTTTTTAAAGATATTATTTATTTATTTTAGACAGAGGGTAAGGTAGGGAGAAAGAAAGGGAGGAAAACATCAATGTGTGGGGAACCTGGCCCAAAAGTCAGGCATATGTGCCCTGGCTGGAAATCAAACCAGCAACCCTGTGGTTAGCAGGACAGCATTCAATCCACTGAGCCACACCAGCAAGGGCTTCTAATTATTTTTATATAAAACTAATAAGAAAAATAAACCATATTTTTGTGTGCACTTCAACAGCACAGATACTAAAATTGGAATGACATAGAGAAAATTAGCGTGGCCCCTGTTCAAGGATGACATGCAAATTTGTGAAGCATGCCATATATTTTTTTAAAGTAACAGTATTTTGAATATACTTTATACAAGGGTGAGGGGGATAGGACATTTTCTCACATAAAAAGAAATTTGGAGGTAGGTTGTTCCAAGCATTCATGCAGCCTCTTAACAATATCATAAAGATTCTATGTTTTTCTTTCTGTCTTCTTTTACAATATCTTTTGCTCAATGGTTGCAATGAGACTTCAAATCCTAGTATCATAACTGATGAAGACATTCAGAAGCAGGAATGGGGTGGAGTCAGAAGTAGATGAGACTTTTATCTCATCTATAAAAGGGAGTAAGAAAAATATCCACACAACTCTCAAGCTGAGTTCTCCTTACACTTCCACCTATTCTAGTAGAAATGGAACAATGGAAAAATGTTATTGCATCTGACATTTCAAGGCCCAGCACAAATAATGTCCCTTTTTTTATTACAAAATCTTGTACTACAAAATCATAAGTATGTGATTCTATAACATAACAATATCACATTCAAGCACACCATATGGCATTTTAGGTTAAATGTTCAAATTAACACTATAAATTATTACACTTATATTATTACCCTCCCAAACACACTCAAGCAGGTCTTACTTCTGCCAGACCCTGTTAAAACTTGAAAATATATTTAAAAATTGTCACCTTATTAGGAAAAGTAATAGAATAAAGTGATGCAAAAATAAGAAATACACTTCAATTACCTTATAAACTCTTTAGTACTGTTACTGCTAATATGGATGTTTGGAAGCTTTGTTATTCTTCCTTAATCAGTCTCATTTGAGTGTAGAGTTCTTAAGGCATGAGACTGAATTATGTCTAATAGAAAAGTAAAAACCAACAGATGTGTCTACATAATATACTAATTTAGTAGTTTGTTTATTTTTTGTTTGCTTTGGTTTTCCTCATGTAACTAAGGTATGCACCTTAGTTGCAAGCTGGTTGGTTACCTCAGTGGTAAATGTAATGGCACCACACAACTGAGCTTCATCCTTTATCTCTGATATCATAGATACAATCATCTTTCCAAAGGACACCCACTTAGATGCAATTTTAACAAATTGGAATAAAATTGCTAAATGTTATTAATATCAGAGCTTTTTTGGATTTTGTTTTCTGACTTTATTTTGAAGATTAAATAAAGATTAAAAATAATTAACAGGACCTAAAAGAATCTTGTTGAGTAATAAATATAGGGGTGTGGTTTCAACATGAGCTTCAGCAGTTATCTCTCTCCTATGTTTTAACATCTTACTGTCCAGTATGCTATCTATATACGAGGAGCTTCCACAATTATAAAACCTCTGTTTTTGCATTTGTACTATGTGTCCTCTTCTCACAATTTGGTGTATCAATTTGAAAATAGGTTAATAGACACTATTCTTAAAAGTCATAGGTGACAATATAGTCAATTTGGGTTTGTAGAAGGAAAATAAAAGAGTTCTTCTCTGTTTTTCTTGTGAACTTCTTATCTACAATGATTCTTAATATTTCAGAGATGTGACCAGAGATATTGTCCAGACATTGGGTAGAGTTAAATTCATCAAATCTTTCAATAATTTGGATGGATATATACTATGGGTTTAGCAAAGGAAATACATATTCTTCCCATAATCTAAAGAATCCTCTCTGAGCCCAGTGGAGGATTCAGGTAAATGGTAAGCAATATTCTTTTTGTACTTTAATGATTTAATAAGACAATTATAGAAAAATAATGTAAAAAACTTGTCAGCCAAAACAAACAGAAAATTTAGTTTGTCTGTTTGAAAAGGAATAAACTTCAAAGATAAAGATATTTAACTACATGTTTAATGGTGATTAAAATTTTACCAGATTACCAAGGTAATGATAGGAGATAACTGAGACAGAGAGAACAACATATGTAAAGGGACAGAGGTATGAAAGTGTATGGCACTTTATTGGCCTGATTCTTCATCCCTTCCTATGAACACACTGGCTATAATTTCATCTTAGTCAGTAGATAACTCTCCATTCCTTGGCTAAGGGTCTGACTATTTCACTTGCTTTGATGAAATATAAGACGAAACAATAGTGCTTAGGCTTTAAGAGGCATCATATATTTTTAAGCTCTCATATGATTTGGGGAGTGGGGGAGGCAGAAACAAACCTTCCTTTACCCTCAAGTTTCTTCTAGGTGGTCTAATAATCAAATTAACACGAAACAGATTAGCAAGAGAAAACAGCCACTAAATATGCATGAGAACCCCATATGCATGAGAGAGTCAGGGACCTCACCTGCAGGACAGGTTAAAAGACAGGAAGAGATCATCAGCATATAAGACACGCCAAGGTATGGATGATGCAATGCACCTTGAGGGCTTCAAAGTAATTATAGGATAATAACAGACATTTAGTAAATAAAAGTTTGCCCTATCCTATAGGTAGGTCAAAAGAAGTTATCTCTGATAATAGCTTATTGTGGGTTAGGCTCCTGATTCAGGTTCTTCTAGGTAGTTAAAGAGAAGAGCAAAAGTTTCTTTTGAGCCTGAAGTTAACATTCATTGACTTTGGTTCAGCATTATATGCACACCACTAAGAAATACCTTGTGGTAGCTCATTCTGAAACCCCACACACTTTCAGCCTCTCCAGCAGAGCCATGTAACTTGGCTGCCTATTGGTTGGAAGAAGATGGACAGATACAGAGCAGACCCAGATCTGAAAAAGCTGGAGCCTAGAGTAGATGTGCCAAGTCAACCCACAAATTTATATGTGAGAAATGTTTATAAGTTACTAAATTGTTTATAAGTCAACCCACAAATTCATATGTGAGAAATAAATGTTTATAAGTTAGTTATGTTACTGAAGTTTGAGGTTTTATTTTATACAACAAAATCATATTATAGCACAAGTAGATATTGGAAAATAGATAAAAAAACAAAACTACAGAAGAGTCTTTGAATGCTCATAGTGTCTGTGCCTCATTTTTCAGGCAATGGCAAATTTTTTAAGCAATGTACTTAAAAAACAATCTAAGCCTAAAAGATTATCCTAACCAAGTAGGAGTGACTAATTAAAGAGAATAGAGACTAAGAACAAAACACATCATAATTAAAATGCCAAAAGTTAAAGAGAAGGAGAAAATCTTAAAAGAAGCAAGAGAAAAGCAGTTAGTTACCTACAAAGTATTTCCCATAAGACTATCAGCTGATTCCTCAAAAGAAACTTTGCCAGCTAGAAGGGATTGGCAATAAATATTCAGATCATGAAAAGCAGGGACCTACAGCCAAGATTGCTCTACCCAGCCAAGATATCATTTAGAATTGAAAAACAGATAAAGAGCTTTCCAGACAAGAAAAAACTAAAGGAGTTCATGACCACCAACCATTATTACATGAAATATTAAAGGGATTTACTTAAGAAAAAGAAGAACATCAAAGTGATGAACAATAAAATGGCAAAAAACATATCTATCAACAACTGAATCTAAAAAACAAACATTGCAAATAGGAAGAACAGACAGAATCATGGACACAGACAGCATTTTGATGGTAGCCAGATGGGAGGGGGTGGGGGGAAATGGGTAAAAGGTGAGGGGATTCAGAAGTACAAATAGGTAGTTACGGAATAGCCATGGGGATGTACAGTACAGTATAGGAAATGGAGTAGCCAAAGAACTTTTACACATGATTCATGGACATGAAAAATCATGAGGGAGTGGGGGTTGTTGTTTGGAGGGGGGACAAAGGGGGAAATAAGGACAACTGTAATAGTATAATCAATAAAAAGTAATTTTAAGGAAAATATATTGAACATCATTTGTCATTAAGGAAATTAAAACTGCAATTGCATGCCACTATAAACCTATTAGAATGGCTGAAACCCAATGAATGACAAAAACAATTGCTGGTGTGAATTAAAAGCAGCAGGAAGTATCATTCATTATTGGTGGAAATGCAAATTGCCCATAGTCACTTTGGAAGACATTTTGGCATTATAAATCTTATTTTATCAGATGATCCTACAGTTGTTCTCTCAGGTAATTATATAACTGATTGAAAACTGAGTCCAAAATAAAACCATAATCTCTAAGCCAGCAAGATATCCTTCAACAGATCATCCCATAAACTTGTTATATTCATGCAGTGGACTACTATTCATCAATAAAAAGAATTAGCTCTTACATTCATATTACTAAGGGAAAGATATCAGTCTTAAAAGGCTATATACTATTTGATTGCAGTTACATAACATTCTGGGAAAAAGAAAACAAAATTATGGAGATGATAAAATGATCACTGTGAGGAGTGTGAGGTGGCAGTGGCAAAAGGGTAAAAGCACAGGGGGTTGTGAGGTGGCAGTGGCAAAGGGGTAAAAGCACAGGGGGTTGCTTAGGGCAGTGAAAGTATGCTGCATGGTACTATAATAGTAGATACACATTTGTCAAAACCCACAGGACTTACAGCACAATGAGTGAGTCAAATATTTTTTTTAAAATCCTGTAGGGGTTTAGTGAATCCCAGGACAACCACAGGAACTCCTCTCATTTCTCATTTTAATCAATATACCTATATCCCTAAGAATAAAAACTATTTTTCCATGTCATTTTCCTTCTATCTGAAGGACTTTCCTTAACTTTTCTTGAAAGGTAGATCTGACCATGATGAATTCTTTCAGTTCTGTAGTCTGGTTGAGGCCATTTATTTTCTAGAAATGCTAAGTGGAAAAGGAGTGAGTTAGAGGACTACCATGAACATGTAGAAGAAAGAGGCCACATGTTAACCTGACAAGCTCAGGGGAGGTTGGTGTGGCAGCCTTACAACTCAGAGACCTATTCACAAAGGATGGTCTGAAGTTAAAATTCATTAACTAAAAGCAGTTCGTGGAGGGTAGTCATGTCTTAGGCCAGTAGATTCCCCTTGTTAACAAAGGTCCATCTTAACTTTCACTGAGATGGTCTGTTATCTTCTTGCATCTCTGATACCTTTGGAATGTCAAGGTAACTTCCTTTTTTTCAGACTCCTTGGGCACAACCACACACCAGAGCTGAG